TCTAGTGGCTCTTCTTTTCTCCTTTTCATTTTCTTTTTGTGGGCTAGTAAAGAACCTTCCAATTGTTCTACCGTCATAAAGTCTAAATCTTTAGACTCCTCAATAGCACACACCACATAATCAAATTTAGGTGTTAAAGAACGAAGGATATTTTCTACCACACGCACATCATCTACTTCCTCCCCATATCTTCTTAGTTGATTTACAACAGCCATCAATCTTGAACAGAAATCCGAAATAGATTCGGATTCTTTCATTTTTAAAACTTCAAAGTCAGCCCTTAGAGTTTGAAGTTTTATCTTCTTTACTTTATCAACTCCTTTGGAGAGAATTTAGTAAAATCTCCCAAGCTTCTTTTGAGGTGGTTGCATCAGCCACCTTCTCAAACATGCCATCATCCAAACATTGATGGATGAGAGTGAGGGCATGTTTATCTTTCTTTTTTGTCTTTAACAAGACCTCCTTTTCATTTGAGGACAAAGTTTCCTCATTTGCGGGTTTTGTATACCCTTTGTCTATAATGTCCCAAACATCTTGAGAGCCAAGAATGACTTTCATTCGTAGACACCATCTTTCATAATTTTCTCTTGTGAGACAGGGGTACTGAAAGGACAACGGACTATTATTTGTCATGGCTCTGATACCACGTTGTTGGATTAAAAGATAATCACACCCAGGAAAATGTCCAAAATAAATAGCAATAGGAAGAGAGTAACAACGACACAAAATATTAAAATGGATAAATATGATACCCGAATAAGTAATACAATAATATTGATGAAAAACTTGATAGTGTCAAAAGACTACTACTCAACACTCTTTTATTTCTAACAACTCACAACAATATTACTTCCACGCTATTTTCTCCCAAACTAAGAATAGTTTGTGGATTACTCTCTACTCTCAATTGGTTATCTATTTTTTGGTGTATCTTCAAGTGTTCAATTACACCTCTATTTATAGAGTTTTGAACCTCTTGATTACATCATTAATGACATAAATGTGGTAGTCAATTTCTACAAAGTTTGACCGCCAAACTCTACCACAACTCTACCAAACTTTGACTACCAAAACTCTACCAAACTTCCACAAATGTGGCTATCAACTTTCACATTTGTGGCTTGCCAATTTTCACATTTGTGGTAAGTAATTTCAACAAATGTGGATACCAAATTAGTTATTGTTTTATTCCCACAAATCTTTGGGTAAGAAGGCTCCTCCACTTCAGTTCCCTTGGCCATTTCCTTTGACTCATTGAATTCCCGCAATTCTGGATGTAGGATTTTGTGAATATTCTTGATGTGACCTTGAATCTTACACTCTGAACAATATTTAGGAATGTAGTCATACTTGATAGGGATCTTATCAGATTTCAACTTTCCAGTCATCGCATCAAGAATGTTTACAACCACTGCTTTAGGAAGAGAAGCTGCTAGATCCACCAATACTCTCACCTTTGCACAGCTAGGCCTAGATTGATTGATGGTGGCTTGGTCTAATTGTAGCGGCTTACCAACGGCTGTAGCTAAAGAGAAAAGACTCTTTTTACCAAAAAAGGTTGGAAAAAGGTTAAGAAAAGAGACCCATGCGATATTCTCGGTGGTTTCCTCATCAATCTTAAAATTTACGTCACAAGTTATGGTTCTTATCAAATATGAATACCCTTCTTTTACACGTAATGTAAAATGCTCCTTTAGCTATGAGATTGATGTAATCCTCCTTTAAAAATAATCTAATAAGGATATGTCAATTGCGAAACAATCCTATTTTGCATTTGCTTTGATGTTGCATTATTGGTGGAATATTATTTATTTTACAAATTCTTGGCCTCTTTCATTATTCCAAAAATGTTTCTCTTTCTTAAGATTTTTGAGGTTAATGGATTTTAGCCAATAAATGTTTCATACGTTTTGTTTAAGAAAGAAATATATGTTTCATAGTTGATTTCCTTCGGTATATTTCAAACAGACTAACAAAATCTGATTTATTTGGTTCAAATCCAAGTCTACTGCTTTTCACTTTTCAATGCCTAAATTTCATCACTTTTACCTATTCTTCATACGGAAAAGGGTCAAATATACCGCTATATTATTGAAAATAGTTTAAATATAGCATTTGATATACTTTCGATCTACATATACCTCTTTCGTTATATATTTGGTCTAAATATATCCTTCTCAATGTGGCGGAACTAGGAATTTCACAAATGGTGTCCAATAAAATGAGAGCTAGTGAGATTTGAACCCGTGATCACCCTAAGGCTCTTTCAAGGCGTCTACAATCACTGGACAACACCTAATTTTATCAAGAGTGTCCAGAATATGTTATTTAATCACTTTGTGTATCATCGGTATTATTTTCCGATGAAGGGTGTCCAATTGGACATCCTAACTATAACCTAGCTAGCTATGCCCTGCAGTTCTCATTGTACTTTGGCCAAATATTCCATTTATCGATTTGATATCTAGTCCCAACCTTAAAATAGATATGTGGAGGATTGGGATTTATTAGAAGGACCCAAATCATTTTGTCCGGGCCAACAACCAAAATAATGGGAGGGGTATATTTGGACCAAAGTATAACGGGAGGGGTATATTTGAACCAAAAGTATAACAAAGGGTATATTTAAACTATTTGGGATAGTACAACCTACATGGGTATATTTAACCCTTCTCCGTTTTTTCTTATCAATATGTAATCACTACTTTGCATCATTCAAACCATAATGTATTTATTGATTTTTCATTTTTGCGTATTTTGTTAAGCTAAGTGTGATATGTAACTGTCTTTAACGGATCTTAAAGGATGTTTAATCCCTTTCCTTTAGGATAACAACCCTTACCTAGATTCACATAACTTAACTAGACCATTCATTTAGAGTTAATTTTTGCATTCTTTTAGTTAAATATTTACGTATCCTAATTCAAAACAACAACGTAACATACCCGGTGAAATAATTAGATGGAGTTAATTAATTTAAGAATCACCAATATGTTGTACTCCAATTTGATTGAGGTTAAAATGGGGTATAACACAACAGAGATGCATCATCTCCATCCATCTTGCTTCAACATCTCTGCCTTCTCCCGTATCATTGAAAATGTTTCCCATTTTTAATTCCATCCGGTCATCACATATTTTCATGGGTAGCCTTGCTCGAAGACCTCATCCCAAAAAATGGACAACTTTATCTTGTTGCTCTAATTCATGGTAACTCTCAGAACCAACAAATCTAACAACTGCCTTATATTTCTAAGGTCATAAATCCATCTTCCAATTTGAACAGATAAGCAAAATAAGTGGTTCTTTTTAAAAGTATTCTAGTTCCAATTTTTCCTCAGATCCAATTAAGTTTAGCCACTTTAGAGAATCTACAAAAAATTTACACTTGTGCAGTAATTCTATTTACTAAGATAATTTCTTTCAAAGTATCCATTACATGAAAACAAACCGCAAAAATATAAAACCTAGAGTCTGAATAGACAACCATTCCCAATAATAAGGTGTACCACCCCATATAATTCAAACTTTTTGTGCTGTGACCATGAGACACTTCTTCCCTGGCTTCTTCTCCAGAAATATTTTTTCTATCTGATAGATAAAATCAAAGATACAAAACATTAGGATTTAGAAATGGACCAAAAAGCCTAAAAAGAGGGCTAGACCGGTTTTTTTGTGTCTGATTGGGATCAGAACGGGCCAACCACGTTCATTTGACATGACTAACTAAAAGGTAGCCTAATCCAAACCACCTAACAATCCTTATCATGGGACAAGCAATTCATTATCCGTTCTTATCATGTCGGATAGGGCCAGTTGCGTGCAGACCCACCCTTCCCACTAGACACCACTTCCACTGTACCACCCATACATATTATACAATCATAGACATAAGATATTTTTTTTCATTGACAATTAAATATAATATTCTGTATTCACAAAAATAACATATTCACAACAAAAATAGAAACATCAGAATTCAATATATATATATATATATATATATAAAGTCAAGTAAACAATTTAATTTTCAAGTAATAGGCGACAAATTGACACCCCTTGAATAAAACTGGCTCCATTACGGGTGAGAGAGTCTTTGAGCTCGTGACATTTTGATCTTACTAGTAAATAAGATTTTATATGAACCAAACTTTTTTTTGAAAAAGAAAAACACAAAAGGGAGGGAGAAAGTAAAGAATTCATACCAATCTTCCTCAATAAAGAAGAATTTGAGAGTTACAAAGGCAGGAGTAAAGTTATTTCTTAGAAGAAAAAACCATTAGAAAGTCTCATCTAGCAAAAAAATGTTGACAATCAGATGGAAAAAATGTCTCTAAGATGATGTCGAGTTCTTCTACAAACATGAAGGATTGCAAGATAGTTGAAGACCTACTTGGTTCTTTCGGTGATGTTAAGGGAAGAATTTTAGATATGCAACCTTTAGGAATAAATGGGAAACAATCCATTGGAAAGAATCGAAAGATTAAAGTTGTTGAATTTGTGTATTGTGTATAAATAAATAAAATCAACCAAACTTATGATAAGTTTCTCAAATATCAAAAATCCAAACCATTTCTTAACAACTAAAAAACCGTCAATACAGAGTACATTTAAATCAAATTAAAGAAATAAAAAGGGAAACTATATATGAAATTGACACCCCAATCAAAATTGTATGCTAACATGAAGTCGTTGTAGGACCCGCCCAATATTGGACAAGTCCACCTCACTCTTGGACAACTCCATTGCCCCCTAACGAAGCTCAGCTTCTGTCAAAAAAGACTAAAATAGTTTTCTTAAACTAAAAGTACATCAGTTTGACATACTTAAGAGACTTTATTGCACAAATGTATTCATAAGACAATTTTGAAATTGAGATCAAACATAAGGTACTTGTACTAATTAATTGAACCAACATTCAGCTAATATCAATATGACACAATGAATCAGATCTCCCATGTTTCTTGTTAATGTTGAACAAATAAAAATATTGCCAGTTGTATGATGAATTTTTCAAAATAGTACATATTCAGATGATATGACACGAGTCCTACAACATGGTCCAAATGAGTGAGAGAGACTCATGTCTAGGCGTAGCAAAAGAAATTTTGTCTTCTTCATTCTGGTCGAAACTCTACTCCTTCAATTAAGAGGTCGCCATTCCCAAAGCGATGCCTAATCTCCAGTAGTCGCGCTTCAACATCTCTTTCTTCCCCTACATCATTAAAAAACTTCCCCATTTCTATTTCCATCCATCCATCAACTCTTCTTTGAACATTAGGATAACCAGTTCTCCTGCGTTTTCGTCGTACCTCAGTCTGACGATTGGCAAATATAACAACTGAATTACCAATTGCAAGATCATCATATACATTTGGATCTAATTTGAACACAAGATACATAATGTATGTTGTTCTCTTTGACAACATTTGACTTGCAATCTTCCCACGGATATAAAGTGAGCCAAGACCCCGTAAATAAGCCACTTTTGAGAATCTGCAAAAATAATCACTTTTCTTAATACATATAGTTCATTTAAATGGCTACGAATGCATGTTTTGTTAATGAAGAAATGATTGGTAAAATCTTAGATAATATCATGTAAACAATTATTATTTATTTTGTTTAATATTCTCATCTTCTACTTCACAATCAGTATTCTTTTGCAACCAATGCTGAATGATTATATTGCTCGAACTCAAAGTAAGGAAATAGTTTATCTAAAGCATGTACGTCTTGGGAAGATGAGCTATAGGTAAACAAAAGTCAGGATGTTGTAGTCAATATTCAAAGGCCTTCCTCAACTTGAGATCAGAGGAGATAATATATGTGCTAGATGCCAACATCGAAAAGCACCAACTTTCTTATGGAGAATGAAAATATCAAGCCAAGAAGCCACTAGACCTGACGCACTCAGACGTGATTGAACCAGTAAAGCAACCTTCTATCAGTGGTTAAAACATGGTAACATTCATTGATGACTTCTAAAGGTACAAATTTAGTTCTTAAAATTTGAAGTATTTGAGAGGTTTAAAAAGTTTCAACATACTATGGAGAATGATATCAGAAGGAAAATCAAATGTTTATGTACGATCAATGGGGGAGAATACACATTATATATGTGGGTTCAATGACTACATTAAAGTAAGATGAAAAGTCGACAATTGACTTACCCAAATATGCCAAAATAATATGGGATTCATCTCACCATTGGAGAAACTCAGGAAGATGATACATATGGTACATCACTTTGAAGTACTTATATGGGTGTTTTATATGTTCATGCAAGATTATCTCTTCAGCAAATTTAATAAAAGACTATTTTTTGCATATTAATTGTTACGATGGACAAAAAAAAGGATAAAGTTGTTGTGACCCAATCACCAATTGAACATATGTTTAAAGAATTATGATATTTTATGAAGCATAAACATGGGTTTTCAAAGAATTTTCCTACCATACTCAAAAGGACTTGAGCAAAAATTGCAAGAAAAGCTCAATTAATGAAAAATAACAGGGGAACATGATAGAAAAATTATCCAAAGAGAAAAACCTAAATCACCTGCACCAGAGCTATCTTCACACACACAAAAATAGAAGTACATGTAAAACTAGAGACTTTGATACTCGAAACGTGTTGCATGAAGAAGTCCAAAAAGCACCAGAAGAACAACTCAAGAAGTCTATATGACCGAAATGTCCAAACACCATGTATATGAATGCAACATCATCAATGGTGAATACCATCTTTGAAGAATATTCAAAGAGTAGTGAATGGAGAAGTTAAAGGGAGGAAGAGGTTCATTATATGCGTAGACATGAAAATGATTGCAAAATCTCAGGGATCGCTCAAAATAGATGCAAAGAATAAATTAAGTTGGTGCTGAGGGAGAGTATTAAAAAGTCATTACAAACCTAATTAATTTCTAAAATATTTCAAAAAAGAATCTAGAAGATCCAATACTTATGGATAATTGAGTGAACAACTCTGGAATGAGAGCTCTACAGTACAAAGTCAAACATTCTACAGATAAGTGGAAGGTGTACTCAAATAAAGAGTGTGTGCTTGTAGACACCTATAAATAGAGGTATTGATTTGAGTAGTATGTGTACTCAAATAAAGATTGTGTTACCCTATATTATTTTTATACTGTTTTTAGCATTTAATAATTCTTTTAGGATTAATCTTTATTTTTTAACTTTTATTTTATTTTAAGTAGATTTTACTTGGTCCATACCACTACTCTGGACACTCTTCAGAGCTATTACTTCAAGTTAAGGCCTCAATCATAAATCATATTACTATAATATCAATTATTACATATTGAATAAGAAAACTAAACCCTAAAAGTAGTCTATTAGGATGGGAGAGAACACTCAATCCTATAAACCCCTTAATATTTTTCTTTTTAAATGATAAGGGTAAATTTACCTATAACAAAGATGGTAAGATTCCTTGCAGTTCAGAAAAGTTAGTTCGCACCAGTGAAGGGAGTTATCTTTACGAGGAAGCTTTTGAAGTGCATTCAATTAGGCTAGGACATTACGGTCACTAGAGAAAAAACCTGGATTTTGTAAGTGATAGATGTTGATTTTATTACCTAAGTTTGCATCATAAATATAAAATATCATCTTGTTAAGTATACATTATGTACTTGATATTGATTCAGCCTTTCCCTGAAAAAGATGTCTTGATTCACTGAAGTATATATGTTATTGATTTTATTATTTAGATGTTCTAATTGGAAGTTAGAACATTGTGTTGCAAGAAATAGCTATAATAGTTGATTTGATATAAACACTAATATTTACAAGTAGATATATTTTTTGTCATAATGGGTTGACTCATTACATATACATTTAGTTCATACTATTTTTCCAGAACCCTTCTTATCTTAATTGGCCAGTTTCAAGCTCGAATAAAGAAGGGTTCAGGGTATGACTCCTCGTAATACAAATATTATTGGTTGTTCTCATCTCGTAATTCTATCTTTGAAAATATGAGGAACATAAATCACTTATAAAGTCCACTATGTTTTCATAATGTCTGAACCAACTTGAACGCACTTAAACTTCACTATCACACCTTTTTTTTTGGGGGGGGGCGGGGGGGGCGCG